TCTACCCATTTGCAGATGGGCACAGCCGTCCCCACGGTCCTTTTTAGAGCGTTTCATCACCCGGGAAAGAAGGCGCGCACCCCCAGCGGGCCCCCCACCTCCCTTCCCCCCGTCCCTGGCTAATCTGCTTTCTGTCTATGAGGATTTGCCTCTTCTGGACACTTCGGATAAACGGAGTGTGACAACCTGAGGTTTTGCGACTGAGGCTCAGGCACCGAGCGTCTTGTCCTCATAACGGTTCGCCTGTGTCACCGCTCTTCTCCTCTTTATTGTCCGGTGATGCTCCTGTGCGGCTTGTACCATTTTCTGTCTATCCGTTCACTCATCGATGTGGACATTCAGGTGGTTTCCACCGTTTGGCCCTTGTGAATGACGCTGTCGTGTGCCTGTGTGTACAGGCCTGTGTGTGGGTGTGTTTTCACCTGGGTCGTGTAGCTGGGCGGGGCAGCACTGCAGCGTGTGGTACCTCCCCACGTGACCGTATGACTGCCGGGGATGCGGCCAGAGTGGCTGCTCATTTGTGCTCCCCCCACCCCACCCCCCGCAGGGTGCGCGGTTCCAGGTTCTCCACATCCCGGGGACACCTGTTACCCGTCTGTCCTTTTCACGGACAGGTGCTTGCTGGATGTGAAGCAGGGCCTCCCTGGTGATTTGGTTTGCATTTTCCTGAAGGAATGACGTTGAGCCTCATGCTTATCTGGGGCCACTGGTATATCTGTCGAGAAATGTCTATCCAGATACTTTGCCCATTTTTAAATTTGGCTATTTGACGGGGCACCTGGGTGGCTCAGTCGGTTAGCATCTGACTCTTGATTTCGGCTCAGGTCATGATCCCAGGGTGTTGGGGCGAGCCCTGCATTGGGCTCCACACTGAATGAGGGGCCTGCTTATGATTGATTCTCTCCCTCTTCCCCTCTCCTCTCGCATGCTCTTTCTCTCAAATAAAAAAAAAATTAACTTATAATTCTGCCTAATAACTTATGCACTCTAAACACAAGTCCTTTCTCAGATGTATGGTTGACAAGTATTTTCTCACACTCTGTAGCTTGTCTTTCTTGATCATGGCCTTTGAAGCACAAGTGTTGTTAATTTCAGTCAAGTCCCGTTTATCTGTTTTCTGCTTTTGTTGTTAGTCTTTTGGTGTCGAATCAAGGTCAGGTAGATGTATTGCTCTGCTTCTGTCTGAGAGTTCTGCAGATTTAGCTCTTATACTTAGGTCTGGGATTCACCTGAAGTTCATTTTTGTGTCTGGTGTGGGGAGAGGGCCAGCGCTATTTCGCGTGTGACTATTGTTGCTCAGCACCAGTTGCTGGAACACCGTTCTCTTCCCGCTGAATTGTGCTCACGCCCTGGTCGAAGCTCTCCTGACTGTAAGAGCTCATTTCCACACTGTCACTTCTGCTCCATTGGCTCCATATCTGTCCCTTTCTCTCGCCGTAGCTTTGTTGAAAGTTTTGAAACAGGAATGTGTGAGTCCTCCAACTTTGATGCTTTTCAAGATAGTTTTTGTTGGGGCTATCCTAGGTCTTTTGCATTTCCTTATGAATTTTAGGACCTGCCTGCCCGTTTCTGGAAAGGCAGCAGATGGCACCCTGGGAGGGGTCATGGTGCCTCTGTAGATGAGGAGAGGCGAGCGTGGCAGTCAGTCTCCCGGCCCTCGGGCACGTGCAGCTGCGCCTCTTTGTGGGACCTTTATTTCTGCCAACAGGGTCTTGTAGTTTTGGGGTTTAAGTTTTATTCTTTTGTTCATTTTATTCCTAAGCGATGTATTCCTCTGGACACTCCTGTAAATGGAATTGCTCTCTTCATTCCCCTCTGTTTGCCGCCGATGTGCTGAAATATGATGGATTTTGTGTGTGGAGATTGCACTCCGCAGCCTTGCTGGACTTACTAGTTTCTGTAGGTGTTTAGTAGGTTCCTGGGGATTTTTAGATTCAAGATGGTGTCATTAATTGGAGAAGGTTTGCTTCTTCCTTTCTGACGTGAATGCTTTTTATTTAATTTTTTTAAACGAATTGCTCCGCCCCTGGTTTTTGAGACATTGGTTTTTCTTTTCTGATTTGCCTGTTCTTTTCTGTTGTGATTGTTGACTCTGTCTTTTTTTTTTTTTTTAATTTTTTTTAATGTTTTTTTTATTTATTTCTAGGAGAGAGAGAGAGAGACAGCATGAGCAGGTGAGGGTCAGAGAGAGAGGGAGTCACAGACTGAAACAAGCTCCAGGCTCTGAGCTGGCAGTCAGCACAGAGCCCGACGCGGGGCTCGAACCCACGAACCGCGAGATCATGACCTAAGCGAAAGTCGGATGCTTAACCGACTAAGCCACCCAGGCGCCCCGACTCTGTCTTATTACTTTGTAAGTGTGGTCTGTAAGGGAGAGACCCGCTCTGGGAGGGGTGCCCTGCTGTGCTGCTGAGTTGGTTCTGAGCCCCCTCCCCTGTGGGAGCTTGGTTTCCTCACAGCAAAATGGGGATAATGATTCTTCTGTGCCGTCCTCTGGGATGGTTAGGAGTGCTGCACAAGGCTGGGAATGAGGGTGCCTCTTGACCGGAACATTCTATCAGGGCTGCATTGCTGGTGGGGGTAGTGATGCTGGTGGTGGACGCCTGTGGACGGAGAGGCTCGCACCCTCCCCGCTGCGGGGCAGACGGGCACAGCTGCGGCCAGTTCCCGCGGTACGTCGTCGAGCCTTGCCGTGCCTCAGTTCCGCATCTGTCAGGTGCTGTGATGGACGGCGCTGCTCACAGGGCTGGACCACAGCAAAGCACTCATCAGGTGCCCCGTGTTATCTGAGCTGAGCCAGGAGTCAGCCCCCAGCTCACATTCTGCCCCACGTTTCAGCCAGTGAGCCCCCTGTTCTCGGGGGGGGGGGCAGAGCAAGGCGTGGACTGGTGCACCCCAGGGAGGCACAGCCAAACGCTGTCACTCACTCATGGTCACTGCCCACGGCGAGGGCTGGGGCAGCCTGGCTCCTGCTGTTTTCCTGACAGCACAAAGCTGCCGATGCTCAGGGCTACGGTCCCTTAACAACCTCGCCCTGGGTGGGGCAAAGCCAGCGCAGCTGGGCAAGGGCTGCTCGACCTCCCCTGCCTTGGCTTCTCCTCTGGACGTGTGTGGCTGTTCGGAGTGACAGCCGCTGACCTGGGCGGTCCTGGGTGTGCCCCCAGGAAATGAGGTCCCGGCACAGATGGAGCCTTGGTGGCTGCTTCCAGGTGGAGGTGGCTTTGAGGGGCACTCCAGGCCCCTGCGGATGTCCTGAGCACAGATCTTAGAAGCAGAGCCCGCGGGGTGTGCTGGTGAGTTGGCTGTGGATTGCGAAAACGTGTCCAAGTGTGGGGGCCGGAACACACGAAGGAGCCAGCCCGGAGCTGCCACCCGTATGAACACGGGGAGGGCTGTGGGCGCGGGCTGCTGGGCACGGGAGCCTGGCCGGGTCCCAGCGTGCCAGGCGGACGGCAGAGTGTCGTGGCTGGCACCTTCCCCGGTCGTTGTGCTGAGCGGGGGACCTGGCACGGAGGGCACCTGGCTGCGTGCGTGTGTCCATGTACACGCTCGTGTGTTGAGAAGCCAGGCTGGAGCCACCTTGCCGGTCCTGAATCCCTGTCCTGCAACACAGGAGCCGTGTAGCCTCGGTTTCCCAGCCTGTCAAGTGGGGAGGATGGTGGTTCCCCAGGAAGGCACCGTCAGGTTGAGGCGTTAGTGCCGAGGCGTGAGTTCAGCTCCCGTGCTCCGTGGGCTCCCTGTAAGTGCCAGCTGTTGTCACCGTGGTTTTGTGAAGGTGCTGTGATTGCCACTGCGTTCACACGTCTCTGTGCGTCCTTACGTAGGGCGACACGGTTGGCATTTGTCACCAGGCTGTGCCTTGATTGGCCGCATGGGCCCACAGCTGGGCACATTGGTGGCTTCTGTGTTCGTGGGCGTGAACATCCTGGTGTCGAAATCCTGGCTGCAGATTCATAATTCTTTCCTTTGGCTAAATTCTCAGACGATCCACAACATAAGGCTCTTGACACGTTTTCCCAGACTCGTCCAGAAAGGTTTGGCTCTGCACCCAGAGCGGACGTTCCCAGGCCTCTCGAGCTTGGCGCATGGTCTTTTTTCTCTTACGATTGGCCAGCTCCAGGAGCAAAAGACGAGGTCTGAGTCCGCACGTCCTCAGCTGCTGTGGGGACGCGCATTCTTGCTTCTCGGCTCCTTGTGTTTCTTCTGTGAAGTGTGTGTTCCCGTGTTAGCCGTTCTTTTTTATTCGGATGGTCAGCTTTTGAGGATGTGTCCGAAGATCCCGGCAAGTAAGGGGGTTGGGCCTTCATCCTGCGCTCTCCCGATCTCTTCCCAGTTGTTTCCCCCAAGCTTGTTTGTGATTCGTTATTGGAGCAACAGAAGTTCTCCTTTTCACTCTCCATGCATACTCCCCTTTTGGTTAGATACGAACTGTGTGCACTTGACCCTTGACCAACACAGGAGTTAGGGGCGCTGACCCCACATAGTTGGTACTTGGATATAACTTCCGACTCCCTGAAAACTTAACCGCTAATGTCTACTGTTGACTGGAAGCCTTACGATCGCATTAAGAGTCGGTTCACACCTATCCTGTGTGTCAGACGGGTTATGTACTAGAGAAAAGAAGCATCATTGAGGAAGTCGTAACTAAGAGGAAATACATTTACAGTCCTGTCCTGTAAAAAGTCCACACATCCATGGACCCGAGCAATTCAAACCCGTGTTATTCAAGAGTCACCTGTATTTGCTTTTATTATCTTCTGATACAGATTCTTTTTTTCAACACTGTGGTCTTTGGAACCTCTAAAGCTCTCTTAATGTTGGGATCACCTCCACGTTTGCCCCAGGCTGACAGCCAAGTGGCCGCCACGCCCCATGGCCTGGGCTGTGGCACCTTCCCCAGAGCGTCGTGTGGCTGTCAGGGCAGCGGCGCCCATTCCAGCCGGGGGTCCTGCCCACCCTCTGCCACGCAGGGTCGTCACCTCTGCTTTCTTCTTCCCTAGGCACGTGCACAGAGGTGCGGCCACCCCCACGGGGCACCTTCCAGATCCTTCGTGGCAATGGCACTTCTGTGGGGACTGTCATCGTGTTCCACTGCCCCTCAGGCCACCAGATGGTTGGGTCCGGCCTCCTCACCTGTGCTTGGAAGGGGAGCATCGCGGAGTGGTCTTCAGTGAGCCCCGTGTGCAAGTGTGAGGCCCGCTCCCCCAGCGCCTGCAGGGGGTGGGGGGCGGCTGATCCCGTCAGGTGGGACGCGAGCATCCTGGAGGGAAGGGGGTGTGGTGGGTATGAGTCCCCACCGGGCCCACATCTGCATGTGGACTCAAAGCCCAGCAGCCTCATCCCTGGCTCTGCCTCCCACCTGGCCTGTCGGCTCCAAGAGCTACAAAGTGTCCTTTGTAATCTTCTAAGGGTTAGCACTGTTTGTTCATTCATTCATTCTTTATGCATGCCTGTGGCAGACGTTAATAGGATACTGCGTGTGCTCCAGAGTCTAGAATTGGGGACACTGAGGGCCAGAGTGCTCGTGGCCCTGGGCTCCCAGTTGGGAGGAGATAGCTTTCTAGCTTTCGAGTTGTGTTTGTTGTAAGGGTGGTGAAGGGTTTTCCAAAGAGGTCACTGTATTGTGTTGACGTGTGTTGGGCATCAAAGAGCGCTCCGTTTAGAGCATGCTAGATTAACAGGCTACAGTACTTCTCAGAGCCTTTAAAATGCTCGTGTGCTGGATCAACCTCCGAGAAGGAGAATGTCAGATTAGGCTCCAACGTAACGGGTTCACAGACATGGCGCTTTCTCTCTGAGGGCCTGTAGGCCTCAGCATGGGAGTCTCATATGGCACTTCCTGGGGGGGAGGGCGGGGGGGGGGGCGAGACCAGGCTGACTCAATGTTCTGGGCCGGGACTCAGGATAATGGCACCTGTGTTCCGGGTGCTTGTCATGGCCGGGCAGGGCAAGGAGGGCCCTAAGAGGTGCCCCACACCTTTCTCCTCTCCCCCACAGGCCAGAAGATGGACATGCAGCTGCAGGGGCAGCCAGGGGAGGTCTTTGGCCTGGGTGGCCTGTGTTTAGCTCAGGCAGGGGGCAGGGGTGGGGTGTGCAGAGTTGTTCAGACTAGGACCCTAGGCTTCGTCCTCCCAGAACACCCGTTAGAACCTGGTAGAGCCACTGCTCGGCCCATCACTGAGGTCACACGGCTGATAAGTGGCAGATGCCGTTTGGCCCCAAACAGAGGCATTCTTCTTGCTTTTGAGCCTCCTAGAAAGTGACCTGAGAAGGCACGTAGGCCCCTGAAGGACTTACCAGCCTGGGGCATCGTGGAAACAGGCCGTGGGCTGTCTGCTGGCATGTGGCTGGCATGTGGAGGACACGGGGCTATCACTGAACTCCTGTCAGAGCTTTTCCTGGTGTGCCACTGTGAACTCCTACACACCCTCCAAAACCCTACCCAAACACCGCCTCTTTAGGGGACAGTGTTCCCTGCCAGCCGCGGCCACCAGCACCTGCCTCCCTGCCTCCCCCGCGGAGCGGGACTTGCTGAGGGCCTCGGTGAGCCTGTGCAGGAGGCACGCTTGTCTCCCTCGCAGCCGTGCCGCCGTACGAGACCTTCGGCTTCAAGGTGGCCGTGATCGCCTCCATCGTCAGCTGCGCCATCATCCTCCTCATGTCCATGGCCTTCCTCACCTGCTGTCTCATGAGGTGCATGAAGAGGAGCCAGCAGCCGTCCGACAGGTACACAGGCCCCAGCAGCCTCCAGCCTTCCCTGCCGCCAGAGCCCAAGGGCAGAGGGCGCTCCGCAGGCACCTCTGTCCGTGCCCTGGGCCTCCGGCGGGTGTCCAGGGGCACTGGGGCTGCCCTGGCTTCTCAGGGAGCCCAGCTCCCAAGTGCCGCCCCACAGCAGCCTCACGGTTCTGGAACGTCTTTCCTAACCAGGCTATGCACACAGGTCCCGTCTGGGCCTCCATCAGTCTGGGCCCTCTTGCGGCCTGTGCTCCGTGGGGTGTGTGAGCGGGGCCGGGTGAGCGGGGCCGGGTGAGCGGGGCCGGGTGAGCGGGGCTGGGTGAGCGGGGCCGGGTGAGCGGGTCGACAGCCAGAGGCCGGCTCACCAACCACCTTGCAGAGGATTTGGCGTCCTGAATGTCGTTCCCCGTCTCTCCCCAGGGCAACCCAGCTGTGGCTCCAGCTGAGAGCCGGGGACTTGGAGACGGTGCAGGCCTCCTACCTCGGCCTCAAGGGCCCGCACAACGGCGGCGGCGGCAGGGACCCCGGGGGCCACCCTGGCCAGGCACACGACAACTACAGCTTCACCACGTGGGCATGGGCACAGCTGGGGGGGTGTGGGAGGTGAGGGCAGGGGGCCCGGCTCGGTCAGGACGCCTGTCACCCCACACGCTCACGCTGCCCAGCCTCCCCTGGGCCTCGACTCCGGTCCCCACACTGGGGCCTGGTGGCCCTTCTGTCCCTGGGTGCGTGCTCCGCACCCTAGTGCCTGGGGCCCCTGCCACATGGCGCCTTTGTCCCCGGAACTCGGACCTGCAGACAGGAGCCCCCCCCCCCTCCCCGGCACGGCTCCGTGTCTGGCGCTCCCTGCATGGGCCCACACTTTCTGAACCAGGACAGGGCGTCCCTTCCGTCCCTTCCTCTGACTCCAGGAGTCCGGTCGAGGCTGCACGTGGGCCGCCCGTACGACAGCTCCCGGTGTTCCTAGCTCTCGGCAGGTGCCCTCTGGCCTCGGCGGCTAGGGCTCTGGGCCCTCGCTGGGGCGGGCTGTTTGTCTTCTGTGGGTTCTGGGCTGCCAGGCTCCTGCACAGCCACACTCAGGGGACGTGCCCTCTGGAGGTGCTGCTGCGGGTCACAGACGCGGGTCAGGCTGGCGCCCCGCGGTCACACGCTCTGGGGCCTCTCCGTCGAGGCAGGTCTGTGTCACGTGATGGGGAGGGGACTCTGCAAGGGGCCACTCTGCTGCCCCCACGGCCTCTGACCTGTGGCCTGGCGTCACACTAGGGTGATTCTAATTGTGCCGCGACTCTGTGCTCCCTTCCGCGAGGAATGAGGTTGAGTTCTGGCTTTTCTCCTTCCTCTCTGGTTTGCTGTTCACATGTCACTCTGAACTCTTCCCTGAACTTTATTCTGGGAACACAGAGAAGCAGAGGGACTATGTAAGGGGCCTTCTGCCACACTCACAGTCACTGTCCCCGGCTCATCTGGGAGCCTTTCCCTCCGCCCGTCCCCGCCCAGCGGCCGGCACTGCTCATCCCGCTCCTGCCCCGGCGGCGGCTGTGTGGTCCGGGGCCTGGCGATGGCTGGAGTGTGGAGTCTGGCCCGCGGGAAGGCACTGATTTCCCGTCTCCCTCCCCGCGGGTCCAGACGCACCTCAGACACACGCTAGGTGTAGGTCAGGGTCGCGTGGCAGAACGCTGCCTTCCCGCCCACGCGCCGCATGGTCGAGGTCCGTGAGCGTCACCCCAGACGTTCCAGCCTCTGCACTCGGGTTTGGGTGAACGCCTGCGCCTACTTAGAGCGGCTTTCCTTTTTCAAGATGACATCTGGGACCGCCCAGGAATGGACTGTTTAGGCCAACAGGCTGGATGTTTTTATTTCCACATTCTTCCTCCAGGAGCCCAGCACAAGTTATTTGAGCCATTTTCACTGCAGCTGCGCCGTCACCAGGTGTCAGGACTTGTCTCCCGCTCGATCCCTTAGCAGGTGCCGGCCTCACGCTCCTCAGCGGCTCCTCGGTCAACGCTGAGGCGGCGATCCCCACACGCTCGCCGCCAGATGTGTTGTTGGCTTTAGTCCTTCGGGGTTACTCCGCGAGGTGCCGGCTGGTGACGGCTCAGTTCTGGGAGCTCCGGTGTCTTGGGGACAGCTGCCTTCCTGCTCCGGCCGCGTTGCGGGGTCTCGGCTGACGCATCCCCTTCTCAGACGGTCAGGCTCCCTGGGCGAGTTTCAGAGTTTTCCCGTCACCCCTACCCAGTGGCGCCTTCCCTTCCCTTTACAGACTGTGACACACTGTGCTGTGTCTCAGCTGGGGACGCACTGGCTCAGTGGGGGGAGGAGCGGCTGTCTCTCACATGTACCCTCCTAGGTAAGGCCCGGGGCCTTGAGGCCCCTGTCGAGGACAGTGGAGCTGTCTGAAGGAGGCCAGGTGTGCCCTGACCTTCCTGTTCTCTGTCTGCTTGCCAGCAACTCCCAGCGGGCCAGGTGCTACTCTAACCTTAGCAGTGGGCACTGTTTCCATCCCTTTTTAAGAGACTTGTCCAGAATCACACTTAATTGCCAAGCGTAAAGCTGAGTTTGGACTCAGGCTGTCTGGCTCCAAAGTCCACAAAGCAGTCTTTCTTCTCCACTAATTAACTGATTCATTTATTTACTCATTAAACCAACGGATAACTTCTTAACTCCTACTACTTCCTAGAGCTGTTCTGAGAATTAGGTGTGGGTGGGAATAGAGATCCGGGCAGGCTTCCTGGAGGAGGTGATGCCTGAAGTGAACAGAGTGGGAGAGTCTGCTGGGGGAAGGAGAGAGACAGCATCTTAAGGGGGGCGGGAAGCAGCAGGGCAGTGCGAGCAGGAGACGGGCCCGGTGGGTGGGGGCTAGGCTCTGGTCAGCTGAAGAGTGGGACTGGGTTGGGGGTGGGGTGCATAGAGGAACCAGAGACGCAGGTGGTGGGTGATCTGGCCCCAGGCCACCAGAGGACAGCCTGGAAGAGCAAAGCTGTCTCCGCCCCGAGACCTGGCCCCTGTGGTTTCTGCACATGCTGACAAAGCCCCCTTCCCTCACACCACCCCAGCAAGCGCCTTCCCAGCCTCGAAGGTGGGCGTGCTGCTCCTTGGACCCCATAGTCATCTGAGTGAGGGGTCTGAGGCCCAGGGAGGGGCCTCCTCAGGCTCAGGGCAGTTCTGAGCCCACTCCAAGCCCACTGAAGGCCGGGCAGGGTGCCCAGCATGGGGCAGGGTTGGGTTACGCGGGCTCCCCGCTCTTCCCCCAAGCTTTGCCTCTTCTTCCTGCAGAGACCTGGGTGAGGGCACCAGAGACATGGCCGGCACGGCCCACGGTGTGGACAAGGACCCCTGGACCGCCCGTCCTGCTGGGCCCCCCCGTGCCCAGGCGACAGTGCACACGGCGGAGCCGCGGCTCTCCCTGCCTGCCTCCTGGCCCACTGCAGGAATGTCCAGGCAGCACGCGGCCTACGTCCCGGGGTGACAGGCAGCGCCAGAGCCTGCCCTCCATCCTGGGACGGCCAGGCCGACCCCATCACCCAGCCACCTGCACCTCCGCCCGTGCCCGGCTTGAGAGTGGTCGGTGGAATCAGCTTCCGGGGTAGGGACCCCTCAGGGCGCTGAGCTGGGGACGCGTGAGGTGTCCCGTCCCTCGGGCACCACCCAGAACAGTTTTTATAGAGAGGCTCCCTTGGAACCAGCACAGGAGCTTCCGGAACCAGGTGCAGCCCCGCCTGGCTGGCTCCTGGACATTTTAAGCAAATCGCATTTATGGCAGAGCAGGAAGCCGGGCAGCCAACCCCTCGGTTCCTGCTGCCTGCCTCGTCTTCCCCGCAGGCCAGGCCGGGGCCTGTGAGCAGGGACCCAGCTGGGCTGCTGCCTGTTACCTGCACGGTGGGCACGAGGGGTGAGGGGTGTGAAATAAACAATTCTAACACTGGAAAAACAAAGGTAAAGATCACCATCTTGATTTTCAGTCTCTGTTGTACTTAGGGTCTAGAGCACCTCCCTTCCTGTCCCCGCTGCTCGGGGCCCCGGGCTTGCTGGGGCAGCGCGGTCAGCGGCCGGCTCACGCCCAGGTGCCGTGGCTGTCAGCAGAGACATCACCTGCGGTGCCCGTCTCGATGGCCTGGGTCTCCTTGCTCACTAGTGGCTGGTGTCCACGGTGAGAGTCCTGCATGCCAGCCGTGCCTTCCAGGGCCTATGGGTCCTACTGGGTCACGGCTGCTGCATGCCACCCAGCGAGGGGGCAACTGGACTCCACTTCTGGCTGGGAGGAGGACCCGGCACAGGGGGACATCTTCAGAGCCATCAGAGTCTTCGACAGAAGCTGTCCTGTCTCTTACCCCCCGCTCCTCTCCCAGAGGGGACAGACAGACAGCACACCTGTGTGTCCATACCCGTCAGGTGAGGCTCTAGATGTTCGCGCCTGCTGCCGTGCTCCGTCAGGGCTCACTGCTTAGCTAAGCCTCTGAGTGGGTCCCGGTGGCTGTTCGGTCCCACCTGCCGTGTCCACATCTATCCTGGGCCGGTAAAATCCAACCTCCAGCTTCCTGCATTTTGGGGTGGGACCTGTCTGGCCATCGAGAAAAGTCACTTTAGTTGGTCGTCTGACCTTCCCTGCTTCCTGCCTGGAGCCCCTGCAGCCACACTGGGGCCATGAGGAGGGCAGCCTGAGATCCTGAGGAGCCTGCGCTGCCCCCTGAAGCCGTGTGTGTCTTGTTTCCCATCACTTACCAGTGTGTCCTGATGCAGGCCACCCAGAGTGGCCTGTCTGTCCCTTGGCTCTTGTGGGAAGCCACCTGCTCAGGGACCCTTGGGTGGTTTTCAGCTGTTGCATTCGGTGCCAACATCCTTTCTGTCCTGGGATGCTGTTCCATAGGGTGGGTTTCTGGGTGGGATCGTGAGGCCAGAGGGTGTGTGCAGCACTCACTTGGGCACATGGCAGCTTTCACACTGGGCTCCCGTGGTGGGCGCCAGGGGACACCGGCTGGGCAACGTCATACCCAGCCCTCAGTAGTGCGGGGTCCACGTGATGGTGGCCCTGGCGGACCCGGGCTGTCCCCAGCTTCTCTGGCAGTGGCAAGCCGTGCCCCTGGGCCACGTGCCTCTGATAAGCCTGCGGGCTCTGCTGCAGGTGGGTGACAAGCTGTTGTGACCCCACGGAGGGTGGCCATGATGCTGTCAGAAACTGCTGTGCGCCTTGTGGGGCTTCAGCAGGTCCTGCCGAGGCGGGTGTTTGTCCCCAGGTACCTGACCCCGGGCTGCTGGAGCAGAGGATGGGAAGACGGGGTGAAGTGGCCCAAAGAGGGTAGCCCCAGTCTGCTCCGTTCCTAGCAGCTGAGGGTGACAGATGGGGTCCAGCTGGGGCAGGTGCACGAGCATCAGAGTCCTTGCCCAGGGGAATGGGGGCAGAGGCCTCAGCAGTGTGGCACGCTGGGCTCTGAGCCTGTGTGCACCAGAGCCAGGGGTCCCTGCTGGACCGGGAGCGCCCCGGATGGTGCAGAGCGGAGAGGCGTCACCCAGCTGCAGAGAAGGAGGGGGGAAGCTGGCCCCAAGCCCCCCAAAACCAATCCCACCTTGTACTGGGAAGAGAGGAGCAAACACCTTTCTGCTTCTAAAAACTGCAAGTTCACTCCCACGGAGGGACCTTAGCACCTGCCGTCCCCTGTGCCTGCGGTGATGCCAGGCCGGCTTATCCAGCCAGGTCGCCACAGCACTCAGGAAGGGTCGTGCTGCTGCGAGGAACAAGCCCTGTGTCAGCCCCGGGCCCCGGAGGGAGGGCACAGCTCAGAGATGTATCTCCCAGTCCTGGGCGCTGGAAGCCCAAGACCCGTGCGCCGGCCCATGTGGTTCTGGTGAGGCCCCTTGTGCTTGCACATGGCCACCTTCTGTGTCCTCACGTGCTGGGGGAAGAGGCCGTGGGCTCTCTGGTGTCTGGTTATGAGGACACTAATCGTAGGGATCAAGGCCCCACCCTTAGGACGCAGTTTACACTCAGTACTTCCTCAGAGGCCCATCTCCAGATGCATCCATGGGGCGGTGGGGGGGGGGGGCAGTTAGGGCCTCGATCCACGGATTTGGGGGCCACGAGCATTCAGTCCAGAGCAGCCCCCTAGCCTCAGGGTTTATTTCCTGCTCACACTGTGCAGCCACAGGCCCCAGCTGGGGGAGCAGCCCCATCCTAAGGGGGGTTCACGACCTCTAGGAAGAGGAAGGGACGTGAAGGGCCCTGCAAGGCAGTGCTCTGGCCTGGCGGGGCACACACCTCACTCATGTGCACGATGCGTTGACCAGACTGACGTCACGAGCCAGGATGGTGACTCTCCCTCCACCTCCCTGCCGCACGTACTTCGAGCCCTGCCCCAGCCCTTCCACGCGTGGTGCTGGCGAGGCCCGCGGTGTTCAGGCGCTAGGATTGCCAGGCCATCAGGGGACACCAGTCAGCCCTCAGTACTGGGGCGCTGCCATTCCTGTCCCCAGAAGAGGCTGAGCAGCATCGGGCAGCACCCCATACCAGGTAGAACCTCCCCACTTGGGGGAAGGCAGTGGGGAAATCTGTGCCTTGTGAGTCCCTCTCTCAGCAACTTGTTATTTATCTGCGTGTACCGTCTATCCACTGCTGGGTGGTAAGCCGCCTGGTGGCTTAAAACGGCAGCTGCCAGGTTACCATCTCATCTCCTGGTTCTGTGGGTTCCCAGCACATCTGCCCCACGACCGCAGCCAACAGCTGCGGGCTGGAATCTCCCAGGGGCATCTCCAAGCACACTCCTGGCAGGCGGCTGCAACTCAAAAGTCGGCAACCCAAGAAACAGAACTCAACGAGCCATCAGTTTCCTAAGGCTTGAGCATTCAAGGATTTAGATGCACTTCAACTTCTGGACTCAGCAGAGAAGAACTTCTGATTCTACCTCCCCTTTCCCCTCCCCCAGGCCCAAACACTGACTCCACTTTCTCTGAGACCCCACATCTGTCCTGCAGCAAGCCCTTGTGACTCAACCTCAAAACCCTTCTGGAAGCCACTTGGTCTCCCCGACTCCACAGCCACCAATCTGGCTCCAGCCTCTGGCTCTTGTCGCCTGGACTGTTGCAGTAGCTTCCTGGTCTCCTAGGCTCCCTGCCTCCATTCAGGTGCCACTCTGCACATGCATGTGAATTTCCACACAGAAAGAACCCTACCACAGGGTTGCTTTTGGGTTTTGAATTTAAAAAAATTTTTTTTTTATGTTTTTTATTTCTGAGAGAGAGACAGTGTGAGCAGGGGAGGGTCAGAGAGAGAGATACAGAATCTGAAGCAGGCTCCAGGCTCTGAGCTGGCTGTCAGCACAGACCCACGAACCGTGAGATCGTGACCTGAGCCGAAGTCGGCCGCTTAACCGACTGAGCCACCAGGTGCCTTTGAGTTTTGAATTTTTAATTGTGGTAAAATATGTGTAACATAAAATGTGCCGTCTTAACCACTATTAAGCATACAGTGCAGAGGCAGTAAGTACATTCGCATTGTTGTACAACCATCACCAACATCTGTCTCCAGAACTTTCTCATCTTCCCAGACTGAACCTCTGTACCCCTTAAACACTCCCCTGTCTCCTCTCTCCCCAGCACCTGGCACCCACCATCCTACCGACTGTCTATAGATTTGGCTACTGCAGGGACCTCATATAAGTGGAATCCTACAGTATTTGATTTTTTGTGTCAGCTTATCTCAGTCTTTTATGTTCTGCACACCCAATTTCCAACGTGTGGAGGGGGCTTCCCCAGACATCAACAAGCAATTCTCAGATACCATTGGGGCGTCCTGCAATCCAACTCAATTCTGACCCGGTCTGCCAGGAGAATTAGCGTCAGATCCCACAAGCTGCGGGGAGTCCTAGACTGTCCCCCACCTCCCACCGGGCAGACACTCGCAGTAAATCCAGGTTCTCACCAGTGCTTCTGACCAACTGGCTGTAAATCAGAGGTTCTCAGTTCCTTTCCTTGGATTAGACTAATTGCTAGAGTTGTTCACAGAACTCAGAAACAGCCAGATGGGAAAGCGGCACAGGGCAGCGTTTGGGAAGAGGACTCGCAGATTCCAGGCCGCCTCCAGGCAGGCCACTCCCACGCCAACGCGGAGGCTCTCCTAAACCCGGTCCTTCACAGCACGACTGATCGACTCATTGGCCATTGGGGACTGACTCCAGCTCCAGACCCTCTCCTCCCCGGAGCCCACAGGTGGACTTAAAGTTCTAACCCTCCAATCACATGGTCATTTCTCTGGGCCAACAATTCCATTCTTAGGTGACCTGGGGACATTCCAAAAGCTGCCTAATTAACATAACAAAAGGCACCTTTTTTTCCCCCCTCTCTTTTAGGAAATCCCTAGGGTTTTAAGAGCTCTGCCTGGAGGAAGACCGGATACATATTTCTTACTGTAAATCACAATCTCATATTCAATATCATGGCCTCAAGGCTCATCTATGTTGCAGCAGGCGTCAGAATTTCCTTCCTTTTTAAGGCTGAACCCACTGTGGACACAGCACATGTACTAATCCATCCCCTGCTCACGGACACTGGCTGCCTTCTTGGCTCCTGTGAATAACGCTGCTCTGAACATGGGTGTGCAGATGTCTCCTGGGAGACCCTGCTGCCAGTTCTTTCGTGTGTACAGAAGGCTCTGTTTTAAAACACGCCCTCCATGGGGCGCCTGGGTGGCTTAGTTGGTTAAGCGTCCGACTTTCGTTTAGGTCATGATCTCGCGGTTCGTCGGTTCGAGCCCCGCGTCGGGCTCTGTGCTGACTGCCAGCTCAGAGCCTGGAGCCTGCTTCAGATTCTGTGTCTCCCTCTCTCTCTGACCCTCCTCTGCTCACTCTCTCTCTCTCTCTCCTAGAAATAAATAAAACATTAAAAAAAAAAAAAAAACACGCCCTCCTCTCACCTCATAACCTCAAACGGTAGGCCCTGCGGGCCCCGACCTCACTTCTATTGCAGCGTCCGGTCCAACCGCACAGACCGTCTCTCAGGCCCAGAAAGGTGGTCCGTGCCCGGGCTCAGGCGTGACGCTGCTCCCCGGCCGCCGTGTGGAGACCCCTCCCTCTGGCCGGCGTCAGCTCGGGTGTCTGGCGCATTCGGTGTATGACTGCCGGGGAGCCGGGTACCCTGAAAACACAGTGGCTCAAAAACGATCGCCATCACCTGTTACCACTGCCCTGTTTCGCGTGAGGTTCGCAGGGTGGCTCCGGCTCGGGGTGTCTGGTGAGGCCAGGGCTGTGGTCTCACGGGACGGCCGGACAAGCGGGGGACCGCTCCCTCGTCACTGTCCAGGTACCGCCCCTCTAGGCTGATTCTTCCCGGCTACGGGAGGCTCACTGACCTCCACCCCAGGCCTGTCCTTGTCCCTCCTACAGCCTGGCCTGCGTGACCTTGGGTAAGTCGCTTCCTCTCTCAGAGCCTCAGTTTCCTCATCCGGGCGTGGGGCGCGGTGGCGCGGGGCGGGGCAAGCCGCCGAGCGTTGCCTAGCCACCTACTCCCAGGCTGGGCCATCTCGGGGCCGGGGCCTCAAGAGGTGGGGCCCAGGGGGGCGGGGCCAGTTGGCAGGCGTCGACAGTAGGGGAGGGTGCGTCAGGACTGCGGACGGAGCTAGAATGGGGGGCTCAGCCTTGGCCGTCGCCGGAAGGGGCGGGGGCGCAGTGGGGGCGGGGTTTGGAACGCAGTATCAGAACGGTGGGGCGGGACTCATTGAGGGGCGGAGCTAAGGGCTTGTGAAGACCCGGTACCCTAAGGGGGTGGGAGACTCGAGACTCCGGAAGGCCTCTAGGTGGCTGGGGCCGGACTCTGTGAGGGGCGTGGCTCAGGGCTGTAGCAGCACCTAACAGACGTCAGCAGGGCCGGGGCTCAGTGGCGTCGGAGCTTAGAGCTCTAGCGTTGGTGGAGAACACGCCCGGGACGCACGGAACGGACGCGTCTCGGTGAGGGGCGGGGCCAAGAGCTGCCGGCACCGTTGGTGCCACCGGATGAGGAGGTGGTTAGGTGGGGGCGTGGCCAGGGACTCGCGGCCCCGCCACCGACGCTGGCCTTAGAAGGCGGGGCTCGAGTGGGGAACCGGGCTTTGGGCCCTCGCAGCAACGCCGCTGCCGCTGTGGGGCGGAGCATAACGGGAAGGGGCGGGCTAGCTGGGGGCGGGGCCAAGAACTCAGGCCTGCGATGTAGGTGCCTCCGAGGGAGGCGGGGCTCGGTGGGGGCGGGGCTTTGGGCCCTCGCGGCGGCTCCGTCGCCGCTGGAGGCGGAGCATAACGGGAAGGGGCGGGTTCAGTGGGACGGCTTGGGGCTGTGGCGGCTACGCCGCCGACGCCGGGGCGAGGATTGCCGGGAGGCGGGGCTTGCCGGGAAGGGGCGGAGTGAGCGGAGCCGGGCGGGCGGCGGACCGACGACCTGACGGGCGGACGGCAGCAGGGGGACAGGAGGGCCCGGCCGGGCGCTCGCTGTGCCGTCGCCATGACAGGTGAGCGCGGGCCGGGCCGGTGTCCCGCCTGCCAGCCCGGGACGGGCGCGCGGCCGCGGTGGCTCCTCGGGTCCACCTGCCCCGGTGCTGCCCCGGCGGCAGCTCCTCGCGGCAGCGGCCGGTGACCTTTGTACGTGACCGCCTCTCTGTGCGCGGGATAACGACCGGCCAGTAGCAGTGGTCGGGGCCTGGAGGGGCCGTGGGCGAGGCGCTGCGGCCTGACAGGAGGCGAGAATGGAAAGGGCACCAGGGGTTTTCCCCGGGTCCTCCTGGCCGCCTGACGCCCGTGTATAGTACCAGTGGGACACTTGTCCGGGGTCAGGCCCAGGGGAACCGGGGACACAGACTCAGCCAGCACCCCCGGGCTTTGTGCTGCGCGCAGGGCGCCCCTGCTCCCTCCATCCTCTGCCAGGGTGGGGTCTGCGGCGCAGCCAGCCCCCCAGAGCCTGTGCTGACTGCGGAACCCACCTCCCTTCCTGATCCCAGCTGAGCAGGGTCACCTTGTTGTGTGGAACTTCCACTGATGAAGAGACCCGGTGATGGCGATGGGGTGGCCAGGACCGCATGACAGCGTGGTCAGGAAATGTTCTTGCTCCCAGGGGCCCCACTCTTCCACATCCCGGGGTGACAGAGGTCCCTGTTCTCTCCCCAGTGCTCCCTGGAGTCCCACAAATAGGATTTCATGGGCTGGTACCTGGTGTCTTCTGGGACAGTGTGGTGTCCCAGCGCAGGTCAGAAGAGACCCCAGTTGCCTCCTATTCCCCTGTCATCTCCCCGAACCCTTCTCACTTGTGGCTGCTGTTTCTGAGAGTCTGTTGTGCCCTTGACCGAGCGTCAGGTGCATCCCGTCCAGAATTGCTGTAGGAACATGTAGGATATCATTGCTATGTGGATGAGGAAATAAAGGCTCAGATTGGAAAGGTGCCAAGCCGCAGGCCACCTGGGTGGCTGGGCAGAGGCAGAACTGGACCTGTGTCCTGCCCAGGGCCCCTCAAGGTCGCGTGGGAGCCCCTCCGCAGCCCCTTTCTCACAGCCAAGTCTGAGCGCTGAGCCTCCAGAGAGCCCTTCTGTCACAGCTCTTCATTTTGAGAGCGGGGAGCTGAGGCCCAGAGAGTGCAGGCCTGGCAGGCTCAGACGGGCAGCTCTGCCACGCTGCAGGCCTGAAGTCCTTGACTCATTGTCCCTGTGCAAGGACCCAGGGTCTGCCTTGTGCTGGTCCTGGGGCCGCCATGACAGGTTGCAGGGTGAGCGTTTGGATGCGATGCATCTGCACAGGGCAGCGCTGGCCAGATGTCGCTGCAGCTGTTACTCTTCTGTGGAACCAGGTGTGCTGGGGAGTGAGCCCCCTCAGCACCTCACCTGAGGGCAGTTCCGGTGCCCAAACAGGAGGGGATTCTGAGAGGGACAGGGACTGCAGTGGCGATGGAGCCCCAGGAACTCAGGGAGGCCTCTTGAGGGGAGGACAGTGAGTCGAGTAGCAGTTAGCCAGTGGGGAGCCCGGGACAGGGGTCTCATCCTTGGGCAGGCGTCCCAGGCAGCGTGATGCCAGGGGGGGCTGCTCTGCAGGATGGCTCAGGAACCTGGGGTGAAGGCAGGTGGGGTGACTCCCATAGGGCCTTGTGTGCTACGCAGGGGTAAGGGGTTGGGGGTCTGTGGTCTTGGTACCAGCTGAGCAAGAAGATGGGGGAGGTGCGGCTTGGCAGAAGTTGCTGGCCGAGGCGGGGCCGGTTTGTGCCAGAGCATTCGACTCCATCCTGTGACAGCTGCCTGAGACTGTTACTCAGGACCTGCGACCAAAGCTTCCTGTGCGTTTTCCTTCCTGGGTGTGGCCATCTGGGTGGTTTTCCTGCATGGCTCCCAGCCCACGAAAAGCTCCAGCCCCAGGCTGTGTGTGCCCTGAGCCAAGTGACTCACGCTCGCTCCTCTCGCCTGCTGGGGCCAGACTCCACCTAGCAAGGGCTACAGCGGGAGGGACCGCCACAGTATGCCGCCCGCTGACAGCGCTGGGCCTATGCCCAGTCATTCCAGAACTCTTTAGTGAGCACCTGCTGTATGCCTGTCCTGTGCATGAGTACACATGCTATTGAGGCAGTGCTGGGCAGAACAGCCTGGGGCCGGGATGCAGCTAACTGCACAGTTAATTAGAACGTTAATTATGTGAGTGGGAAGTCTTGGATGTCAAGAGGCTGCCACAAAGCTGTGCCTGGGTCCAGCCTCCATCTTTATTCCCTAGTGGCTAAGGTCTTAGGCAGGTCCCTCATCTATTTGCCATACCTCAGTTTCCCCATCCGGAAATGGGGGTGGTGGTCTTGCTGGAGTCGCAGAGCTGATAGAATGATGAAGGTGAGTGCCTGGTCACGGGGCCCACGCCGTCAGCTGGATCAGAGGGGCTGCCAGTGGTGACACCAGGTGACCCAGAAGGTTCTGCCCGTGTGGCCATGGCAGGTCTTTTTGTATCCCTGGGGGCAGTTTCTCGCCATGGTGGGGCGCTGACGAGTCCGTCTTCCAGGTAGACTTTCAGGACCTGGGAGGATCCAGAAGTTAGAAATTCATATTTCTGAGGGAAAGACCAGCCAGGAGGAGGTGGCAACAGCAGACAGAGGTGAGGAGGACAGGGTCTGTTGAGTAGAAGATCCTGCTTGTTCTCACATGATGACCCCATTCGATGACCCCTCAACTTTATCGAGATATTATTTATTCGCAACAAATGAGCTTATTCTCAGAGAGAGAGGGAGAGACAGTGCTGTCATCACAGAGCTGGACGTGGGGCTCCATCCCACAAACCTTGAGATCCTGACCTGAGCTACAATCAAGAGTCAGTTGCTTAACTGACTGAGCCACCCAAGTGCCCCCAAATGCACCTATTTTTAAAAAATATTTTAATGTGTATTTATTTTAGAGAGAGCATGCTTACATGTGTGTGCGCGCACGCATACACACACACACACACACACACACACACACACACACACACACACACACACGTGGGGGAGGGGCAGAGAGAGGGAGACCCAGAATCCAGAGCAGGATCCAGGCTCTGAGCTGTCAGCACAGACCACAACTGGGCGCTTGAACCCACAAACAGCGCGATCATGATCTGAGCCGAAGTCAGACGCTCAATGGACTGAGCCACCCCAGTGCCCCAAATATCTGATTCTTGATTTTAGTGCAGGTCATGATCCCAGGGTCGTGGGATCGAGCCCCTTGTAGGACTCCTTACCCAGCATGGAGCCTGCTTAAGATTCTCTCTCTCCCTCTGCCCCTCCCCGACACATGGATGGGCTTGAGCTTTCTCTCAAAAAAAAAAAAAAAAGTTAAAAAAGAGAAAAAGAGTCTGTATGAATTTTAGGATGGAGTTTGGATAGGAATTGCATGGACTCTGTAGATCACTTTGAGTAGTGTTGTCATCTTTGTGACATTAAATCTTCCAGTCCATGGACAGAGAGTATATTTCCATTTATTTGTATATTTTTATTTATTTATTTTTAATGTTTTATTTATTTTAGAGAGAGAGAGACAGCGTGAGCAGGGGAGGGTCAGAGAGAGAAGGAGACACAGAATCTGAAACAGGCTCCAGGCTCTGAGCTGGCTGTCAGCACAGAGCCTGACACGGGGCTCAAACCCACGAACCCAAGTCAGACACTTAACCAACTGAGCCACCCAGGCGGCCCATATTTGTATCTTTTTAAATTTCTTTCAGTGACGTTTTGTAGTTTTCAGTGTACAAGTCTTTTACCTTCTTGGTTAAATTTATTCCTAAGTAGTTTATTCTTTTTGATGCCATTGTAAGTGGAATTGTTTTCTTATTTTCTTTTTTGGATTGTTGATTATTAGTGTATATGGATGCAACTGGTTTTTGTGTATTGATTTTGTATCTTGCAGCTTTGCTGAATTTGTTGACTAATTTTAACCTTTTTAGTTTTCTAGATAGAAGATCATGTCATCTGCAAAAAGAGATCGTTTTCCTTACTTCTTTTCATTTGAATACCTTTTATTTCCTTTTTTTTGTCTAATTGCTCCGGTGTGAACTTCCAGTACTGCACTGAAGAGAAGTAGTGAGGGTGTGGGCCTTTGCTTTGTTTCCGATCTTAGGGGAAAAGCTTTCAGTCTTTCACCATCAAGTATTTCATTTGCTGAGGGCTTTTCATATGTGACTTTCATCATATTGAGGAAAGTTTCTTCCAAATTTATTGAATGCTTTTGTCCTTCAATCAAGAAGGAGTATTGAATGTGTCAAATGCCTTTTCTGCATCGTTTGAGATGATCTGGATGATCGTGTTGAGTGTGTGTGTTTTCATTCTGTTAACGTAAGGTATTACACTGATGGATTATCACATGTTGAACCATCCTCGTATTCTGGTGTGTAATCCTTTTAATATGCTGTTAAATGCAGTTTACTAGTATTTTGTTGAAGATTTTGGCATCAGTATTTGTAAGAAATATTGGTCTGTACTCTTCTTGCCGTGTCCTTGACTGGTTTTGGCATCAGGGTAATGCTGGCCTCATGGAATGAGTTAGGAAGTGTTCCTTCCTCTGTGTTTTTTGGAAGAATTGTAGAAGTTCCGGTCTTTAAACATTTGGTAGAATTCACCAGTGATGCCATCTGGTCCTGAGATTTTATTTGTTAGGATAGTTTCTACGACAAATCTCCTTACTAATTATAGGTCCTTTGAGATTTTCTCTGAATTCACGTTTTGGTTATGATAGATTGTGTGTTTTTAGGAATTGAAATTGTTCCCTTCATCTAGTTTGTCCAATTTGTTGGCTTACAAATTTTCAAAGTATTTCTTAATCCTTTTTACTTTTGTAAAATTGGTAGTCCTTTCCCTACTCTTATTTCTTTTTTTTTTTTTTTAAATTTTTATTTATTTCTAGGAGAGAGAGAGATAGCGTGAACAGGGGAGGGTCAGAGAGAGAGGGAGACACAGACGCTGAAACAGGCTCCAGGCTCTGAGCTGGCAGTCAGCACAGAGCCCGACGCGGGGCTCGAACCCACGAACTGCGAGATCATGACCTAAGCGAAAGTCGGACGCTTAATCGACTAAGCCACCCAGGCACCCCTCCCTACTCTTATTTCTGATGTTAGTAATTTGAGTCTTTTTTCTTGATAAGTCTAGCTAACAGTTTGTCAATTCGTTAATCTTCCAAAGAACCAAGCTTTGTTTTTGTTTTTTTCTATTTTCCATGTCAATTATCTTTGCTATAATCTTTATTATTTCCTCGCCTCCTGCTATTTTGGGTCTAGTTTGCTCTTCCCTTCCTACTTCCTTAAGGTGTAACATTAGGTTGTTGATTTGAGATCTCTTTTCTGGTGTAAAGTGTACATTTACAGCCTAAATGTCATCTTCCAAACTGGTTTCACGGCATCCCTTACATGTTGGTGTGTTGTATTTTTATTTTCATACGTCTCAAGGCATTTTCTAATTTCCCTTGTGATTTCTTCTTTGATCCATTTGTTGTTTCCTTTTCACATAAAGGTGAATTTTCTAGTTTTCCTTCTGTTACTGATTTCTGGCTTTATTCCATGTGATCAGAAAGGCCCTTTGTATGTTTTCAGCCTTTTTAAATGTATTAAGACTTATTTTGTAGCCACATTTGTTTTGTGGTCTGTCCTGGAGAATGTTCTATGTGCGCTTGAGAAGAGTGTACAGATCCACTTTAGAGCTATTGTGAGTTCGGTTCCAGACCACCACAGTAAAGCAAATATTGTAATAAAGTGAGTCCAGTAAAAATTAATTAATTAATTAAAATATATATACAGTGAGTTCAGTGTATCTCTTGGTTTCCCAGCCCATATAAATTATGTTTACACTATGCTGTAGTCTGTCAAGTGCACAGTAGGGTTATGTCTAAAAAACAGTGTGCATACCTTAATTAAAAACATTTTATTGCTAAAATATGTTACCAATTAACTGAGTTTTCAGCAACACATAATCACTGATCACAGATCACCGTTGACAATTGTAATAATAGTGAAAAGGTTTGAAATACAGTTTGAAGAAGGAAACATTTGAATTGCCAGAATTATCAAAATGCGACACCGAGACACGAAGCGTGCATATGCTGGTGGAAAAGAGGCTCCAGTGGACTCGCGCAGCGCAGGGTCGGCACAGACCCGCAGTCTGTGAAAGCACAGTACCCGCCAAGTGCGGTAAACAGAGGCACACCTGTATTTTCTCCTGCTGTTGGGGACTGTTGGTCCCGGTGTGTTGGCTCTTGTGGGTTTGTTGTGCAGCTCACACCCTCCGTTCCCTTATTGGTCATCTAAATTTTTTTTTAATGTTTTAATTATTTCTGAGAGAGAGAGCATGAGCAGGGGAGGGTCAGAGAGAGAGGGAGACACAGAATCCGAAGCAGCTCCAGGCTCTGAGCTGTCAGCATAGAGCCTGACGTGGGACTTGAACCCACGAACCATGAGATCATGACCTGAGCCAAAGTTGGATGCTTAACCGACTGAGCCACCCAGGCGCCCCACCCTTATTGGTCATCTGTGTGGTGGTTCTGGCTGTTACTAAGAGGGCACTGGGGGCTCAGTTGGTTAAGCGTCCGACTTCGGCTCAGGTCATGATCTCATGGTTCGTGGGTTCAAGTCCCGCGTCAGGCTCTGTGCTGACAGCTCAGAGCCTGGAGCCTCCTTTGGCTTCTGTGTCTCCCTCTCTCTCTGACCCTCCCCTGCTCACTCGCTCTCTCGAAAATAAATAAACATTAAAAAAAAAATGAGGTACTGAAGTCTCCTACTGTTACTATTATCTGGAGGCTCTGATATTTGGCTCATGTACTTGTTAGATCTTCTTGGTGAATTGACCCTGTTACTAACCTATGATGTACTTTGTGGTCTTTTCTTTCTTTCTTTCTTTTTTTTTTTTAAATACTTTTATTTATTTCTAGGAGAGAGAAAGAGAGACAGCGTGAGCAGGGGAGGGTCAGAGAGAGGGGGAGATACAGACTCTGAAATAGGCTCCAGGCTCTGAGCTGGCAGGCAGCACAGAGCCCGACGCGGGGCTCGAACCCACGAACAGTGAGATCATGACCTAAGCGAAAGTCGGACGCTTAACCGACTAAGCCACCCAGGCATCCCCTTCGTGGTCTTTTCTAACAATTTTTGTTGCAAAGTCGATCTTGCCTCCTATTCGCAGGGCCACCCTGCTCTCTCTGAGTTGCTATTTGCAGCAACATCTTTTCCTGTCTTTTCACTTTCCACTGGTGTGAGTCTATTGGAGACAGCGCATCGTTGAAACATATGTTTTTAATCCTGAGGGAAGAACAACTCTGTCTCTCCTCTGCTCCTACACGCAGCACTCTTAGCTCTGAGGACTCCTGACACTTCCGGTCACCAGCTGGGGGTGTCACAGTTCACCTCCCTTCTGACACTGTCTCCCTGGGGGTGGCATCGGCTCCCACTTGTTAAGAGCTCAGTCCCCTCACCGTCCCCACTGCAGACCCCACTGACTGGCTGTTAACCGAGGGCCCCGTGACCCCCTCTTTTGGTCCAGCCTTTTGCTACGGCTCACAGAACCTGCGACACACTTTCCACCCCCCTGCTACCTTATTACAGAGGGTGTTTGCAAGGATACAAGTGAACATCCACACACAAGGGGTGCTTAGAGCAAAGAATGGGGGAAGGGGCCCCGAACCTCTGTGTCCCTGCTGTCCCTGCGGGCGGGCTCCTGCCCCAGCGCTTCTTTGTGCTCGGCAACCCAGAAGCTCGTCAGACTCCATCATCTTGGGGTTTTATGCAGGTTTGGTTATGTGGGCGTGATGGATGGAATGTTGCGCCATTGGTGATGCATTCGGCCTCCGGCCCCCTCCCCTCCAAGCCTCTACCCGTGTGGCTGGCTCCACTGGCAACCAGTCCCATCCTGTGGTCATGTAGGGGCTTAGAAGAATCACCTCGTGCACACAGTCGGATGAAGGTGAAAGGGGCTTGTTAGGAACAAAAGACACCCTCACCTTCATGGCTCCTCACTGAGGATATTCCAGGGGTTCAGGAGCCATGTGCCAGGGACTGGGCTGAAGACTAGTATATATTTCTTATTAGAAATCACAATATCAAAAATCCATTTTGCCAGGCTGTGTCTTTTCACTTGTTTACATTTATTTTGACAGGTTTTATTTTCTAAGTGATCTCTATACCCAACTGGGGCTCAAACTCACGATCCCTAGGTCAAGCGTTGCGTGCTCCACTGGCTGAGCCAGCCAGGCCCTCCTTAATCTGTTTACATTTAAAGTAATTACTGCCGTTACTGGGGCACCTGGGTGGCTCAGTCAGTAAGGGTCCGACTTCGGCTTAGGTCATGATCTCATGGTTCATGAGTTCAAGCCCCACGTCAGGCTCTGTGCGGACAGCTCACGGCCTGGAGCCTGCTTTAGATTCTGTGTCTCCCTCTCTCTCTGACCCTCCTCTGCTCATGCTCTGTCTCTCTGTCTTTCAAAAGTAAATAATAATAAAATAAAGTAATTGCTGCAAATACTGATAATGAATAACTTGCTTCTGCCTTTTTGCTGTTTATTTTCTGTATGTCTTCTGGCTTTTTGTGATTTATCAATTACTGCCTTCTTTCATGTTTAGTTGATTTTCTTCAGTAACACTTTTATTTCCTTTCGTGTATATTCCGTGGATGTTTCCTTTGTGGCATGAGAATTGCACATATCATTCTGAAGTTATAATCATCTTATATGAACTGATAGTAACAATTCCAATCACAGACAAAAACTCTCCTCCTTTACAGCTCTGCCTGTGCCCAGCCCCCATGTCCACCAGCAAGTGGGACAGGCTAGCACCGGTGTGGGGGGCACACTGGTCACATGGTGGATTCCCTGGGATTCGGTGCCCTCCCTCGGGGGTCCTGTGCCTCCCACCAACCACTGACCCACCCCTGGGCTTTAAAGGCCTGTCATTCTAAAGAACATTCTTAATGGGAAAAAAGGCATGGCAGTGATGCTTTGCTGGTGGTACTGAAAGAAGTGTCCCCAGGACCCAGGCCGGGCACACTGCTCTGCTGTTGTGGCAGCCTCACCAGGCCCGGCAGGCTCATGTGTTCCGCGGCCATGCCAGCACAGGCCACCCAGCCCTGCACCCCTGTCCCTGCGGGAACAGCCGTGGGAGCTGCAGGGCCAGGCCTTCTCCAGGCTGCTGTGTCCCTGCAGCAGGCCCTGGGGGGACCCGGGGACGGCAGGCGCGGCCTCTCTGAGTTTGTCTTCTGCTGCAAGCTCTCAGGCATAGAAGAGAAGGGCCAGAGCCTCACACACAAGTGCGCCCCATCTGGTGAGGGGGTTCTGGGCTGTGCACGGCCCGCGCAGGTGGGGTGTCCGCGGTTATCCAGGCGCTTACAGCCGATGTGCCGCCTGGGGGCCGCGCCGCGTGTGGCGTGTGGGCCCTGGGGCCCCTCGTCGGCCGTGCCAGCTCATGCCTTCCATGCTCTCTGCTGTTTCAGAGCAGACCTACTGCGACCGCCTGGTCCAGGACACGCCTTTCCTGATGGGCCATGGACGCCTCAGCGAGCAGCAGGTGGACAGAATCATCCTCCAGCTGAACCGCTACTACCCCCAGATCCTCAGCAACAGCGATGCAGAGAAGGTGCTGAGGGGGCCCGGCGCATCTCTCCCTTCTCTCCCTCCCTCCCTGGGCTGGGAGAAAGCGGGGGAGGGGCAGAAGGGGGGCGCTGGGTGGAGGTGAAAGCCTGACTCCCTGCAGGGATGTTGGGCCCGACAGGTCAGCTCCGTGAGCCGCAGTCTCTCCTTGTGCCCTCGGGGCCTGCCAGCCCTCCTGAGCCGCTGGGAGCATCACAGGAGACAGGACTGTGCCATTGCATGTGACAAGCCTGAGGGGGAGAGGGGGCGGGGCTCTGGCCGGGCTCACCCCAGTGCCGCAGGGCTCCGCACCCTGCCTCTTCCGAAGGTTCACAAGTGGACACTGAGGGAGGTGGGTGCCCCTCGCCTGAGCCACCCTTCCCCTGGCTCCCCCCTCAGGGCCAGGGCTTTGGGGTGTGGGGACCCTCCAGCCCAGCGACTGAGGGAGCCGCGCTTTTGGGGCTGCAGGGCTGTCCTTGGGGCTTGGGGCCTCTGCTGGGCACCACGAGGCTGACCCGCAACCCAGCTGCAAGGCAGGCGGGCCCCTGGCTCAGATGCTCAGGTTATGAAAGTCCACAGCCACGTAAAAGTACGGGTGACAGTCCTACCTTATGGTTGTGATTAAAAGTCTAATGTACGTTTATTGTATAAAAATTTGAGAAGCTTTAGATGTTTATACAAGAAAACGGAGGGTCCTGCATCCACACGGCCACACTATCCCGCGCCTCAGTGTCCCTGGCCCCTGCCACGCACTTGAAGTTTCTGGCCCAGCTCCGGGTCCGAGTGGAACGGCACGCTGCCACCAGGTGGCAGCACCAGGCCACGGCCTCCAGGTCCTCATCAGTGCCAAGTGCACGGTTCGCTGACCTTTAGAACCACACATTTCTCCATTAACACATCAGAAGACTCCGGGTTTTTTTCCATGCTTCACCCTCCGTTTTTAAATTCCTTGAATCACACTCCTGTTGACTATAAACTACTAGCAGTTCTCACTCATGCCATCCCCTCATTGATGCCTTGCAGCGGCCCTGCGGTCTGGGTTTATTATGCCCTTTTTGCAAGTGAAGAAACAGTCTCGGGGTGAAGTGTGACTTGCGGGAAGCCATCAGCATCTAACAGCTGGAATAATGTCACCACTGTCTTTCTTGATGACCTGTCCTGGCCTCCACAGGGAGGACCAGTGGCGGCGCTGTGACCACAGCACCAGCTGGGGCACCTCATGGGTAGACGGAGGCCCTGGTGGCACTTGCTGCCACCTCCCCAGCCCCGCCCTGCGCAGAGGCACCACTGATGCAAAAGCTGGGGCCCAGGGCAGGGCCGGAGCCCCCAGCCCCCGTGGCCCTGCCCCTCCAGCCTGACCTTCCCACACACCCTTTCCACCCCCAGTTCCGGAACCCCAAGGCGTCCCTGCGCATGCGGCTCTGCGACCTGCTGGGCCACCTGCAGCGGAGTGGCGAGCGGGACTGCCAGGAGTTCTACCGGGCCCTGTACATCCACGCGCAGCCCCTGCACAGCAGCCTGCCCAGCCGGCTGGCCCCGCGTAAGTGTGCCCCCCATGCCCCCAGGCGGCAGCGAGCGTTTCAGATGCAGACATTGCCGCCTCTCTCGTATCTGTTGTTACACAGAAGGTGGTGTCCTGTCGTGTGTCTCCGCCCTCCCTCCAGCCTGGGGGCCCGTCACCCAAGTGCTGCGGGGGGCTCATGGCTGTGCCAGCCTTGAGTGACCTGTGCCCTCATGGCAGAAACTGCGGTCGCACCTGGTGTGGGGGGCGTCCCCGTAATGTGGGTGTTTCTGTAGAACAGTGTCAGGCACGGTGGCTGGAAGGCGTGTGTGTTTTGGTTTCAAGGGTCTTGCCTGAGAGCTCAGGAGGCGCATGAGTCCTGAGGGATCATCTGAGCTGCTGGGTTGGGGATGGGAGGCATAGGCGGGCATGGCAGCCCAGGCCTGAGGCCTCTGTGCCCCTGGTCCCCTGGAGGAGAGGCTGGTGTCCCTCGATCCTCTGATGTGAAACCAGAGGCCTGAGGGCCAGGGTGGCTCACCCCAGATGGCTCAACTGGGACCCCAGGCTGGTGTCTCTGACCTGAGGATGAGCTTTGGCCCAGGACAAGCGTGTCACACCAGCCATTGGGGAGGCGGGGGGCACAGCGTGGCTGGGCATCAAGCACCTTCCAGGCTCCTGGGCCATCAGCCAGTGGCCGGTTGGCGAGGTCTGTGGAGAGCACGCACTCTGCCCTCATATGGACATCGCCAGATTCAGGACAGTGCATGTGGTGCCTGCCTCCGCAGGGAACGACGGCCCCCACCCATGGCCCTCAGGGTCTCAGGGTGTGGACAGAAGGAGATCCACAACTCGGGGTTCCGTGACGCTGGTCCCGGGCTCCCCTCCCTGATGCCGATTCTGCCAAGCCCGGCCCAGGAGGTTGGGGGGGTGTCCGAACGGCCTGGTCCAGCCCAGCCTGGGGGCTCGGGGGTGGCGGGAAGGAGCCTGAGCGGCCCCTTGGTTTCCTGCAGGCAGGGCGGCCACCTTCCGCTGGCCGGCCCACCACTAACCGAGCCCTGTGATTTTGTTTCCAGAGAACTCAGATTGCACAGAGCTAGACTCGGGCACCGAGGGCCACGAGCTCAGTGACAGGGGTAACGGCCTCCCGCGTCCCTCACCCTGTCCCCCACCCAGGGCTCCGTCTCTGCCTCAGGGGCTTCTCCTTTCCGAGCCAGGCTCCGTCCTGCCTTCCTAGTGACTGGGCCCCAGGGTGCTCGCTGGGGCTCCCAGCGTCCGGGCTCAGGCAGCCACGTGCCCACATGCCGCCTTTCTCCCCAGGGCCCGTGGCTTTCCTGGCCTGCCTCGGCCTGGCCGCGGGGCTGGCACTCCTCGTCTACTGCTCCCCTGCAGGTGGGTGCCGCCCAGCCAGGCCTGAGCACCGAGCCACCTGGCCTCCCCGTGCCTCAGTTTCCTGGCCTGTGCAGTGGGACAGCAGTGGGGCCCAGCCTGCAGGCACGGGAAGGGGAGGGAGTGTAGGGGCATCGGGGATGCATCGGAGGAGGGAGGCAGGGTGCAGCCAGGGCTCTGGGGGTCCCTGTCCTGCATGGGGCCTGGAGCAGGGCACCCACCTCTGGCCCCAGGTCACAGCCCTGACTGCAGGACGGGGGGCCCGCAGCCCAGCGTGCAGCTGCCGTCCCTGCCCGGCCACGCCAGCCCCTCGCAGTCGTGTATGGGGAGCCAGCGCCAGGCCGGCCCGCATGGCGGGGACGCCCCATGCCACTTGGCTGTGGGGCTGCACAGGCACCTCCGTGGCAGTGTCTGAGGCCACCTTGTCTTTCAGACCCCAAGGTGCTGCCGGGGGCCCGGCGCGTCCTGGGCTTCTCCCCCATCATCGTAGACAGGCACGTCAGCCGCTTCCTGCTGGCCTTCCTCACAGATGACCTGGGGGGGCTCTGATGGCCCTGCCCCCCGCCGCCCACCAAAGAGCCCCGCCTGCCCGCCTGGGGGGCCGCTGCTTCTTTTCTAAATGCTTATTTTTCACTATTTATACTTTTTTAAGAAAGTTACCTTCGCCTGACAAAGGTGCTCAACGATATTAAATGTTGGAGTCTCGTCGTTTCCCTTGGGAATGTTTTCTAGGTGATTCTGACTCGAGACCTTGTGGTGTCTTCAGCGGGCAGGGCTGACTCTGAGAGCTCTCGGTGTCCCACACCCAGCCTGGGGCCGGGTCCTGCTCAGGCTGCCCTCCTGGGCCCCGCTGCCCCTCAGTGCCCCCCAACCCCTCCCCCCGTCTCCCCAGACGTCCCCGCCCCTGCTCCCTCCCACCTCATGTCTCCAGAGCCCACGCCTCTCATTTAGAGCCCCTCCCGCAGCCTCCTGCCTGGCACACGTCCATCCCGGGCCATCACCTTGCCCTTCCCAGCCACCAGCCCCAGGTGGGAGGGCTGGGTGGGGACACTGCCCTGCCATCTGTCAGCCCCCACCCAGGGCCCCAGGGGCCCCAACCGCGTGTACCAAGAAGCCCCATGCCCATGTGTGTTCACTCCACCCAGCAGCCCCTGCAGGTGGGGGCTGCATCCCTGCTTTCCTAAAGAGGAAATTGAGGTCACTCAGCCAGGAAAAGGGGGGCCTGGCACGTAAGGGGGTCCAAGATTCACCACTGTCCTCATTCCCTTCTGTGATGTGTCCCAAAGGGACCCCCCCCCCCCCACAGCCCCTTGTCCCCATCCAGTCACCAGAGCCAACACCCAGGTCCGGGGTCCTGCATGGCCTCACCCGCCCCTGTCCTGGGAATGGAGCCCCTCCCCCTCCCCACCAGGAGGTAAGAACGTGGGCTTAGTGGGTCTGGGGTGGGTCCAGTGGATACAACTACAGTTGGAGCCTGGAGATGAGCACAAGGTCTTGTCCCAGATTCCAGATGGCAACTCAGAACAAAAACAGTCCGTAGAAACTTCTGGAACTTTTGGAGTTGAGAAATGTCATTGTGCCATCCAAGGTCCTCTGGCTACTCCCCTCCTCCCCCCGAAGCCTGAGGTTTGTTCCACGCCCATCATCTTCATCTTGGGGACACTGGCCTATCCCTTCAGCTGGGGTGTCTACACCTGTCTCACCTGCCAGCCTCAGGCTCAGGACCCCAATGTGGACACTTTCCCTGTGGACACGGGAGGGTAAGCGTGCAAGCCCTAGAGGGCAGGCACCGCGTCATCTCTGGGCACCATTGTTTTCAGTACAAAGCCAAGGGCCACACAGCTGCCGAGATGGGGTTCTACCTGCCCTTCCCCCGTAGGCATGGGCACCAGGCACAGGCTGGGACCCAGGGGTCCCTCTCCCAGTTACCTCTTCCCTCCGCTCCTCCCCCACAGCTTCTTTTTGGGGAAACAAGCATATTTGTCAACCCAGGAATCACCATGAGTTTGCATTTTCCACGGGAGGTTTCCGGAGATGCCAGGGCAGGCCAGCTCCAGGGATGACGGCCGCTCCCAGGTCTCAGGGTGGCGGGGCACATGAAGGGAAACAGGTGGGGGCAGAGGCCACCAGCTCCGGACGTGCTGTCCCGCCCCCACGCAGCCAGCTCATGGGCTGAGTCCCTCATCCCAGCACCCCGGCTCGATGCCACGGGACAGCATGGCCTGCGCTCGCTCTCCACCTCTGTGCTGCGGGCCCCGGTGTGTCTCCACACCGAGCCTCGGGTTGCCCATCTGTACATTGGAGACACTCCCGTGAGAACCCCAGCGGGCCTGGGGTGGCACTGCTCACTCAGTTCGATGCTCTCCGCCAGAACTCCCCATGAATTCGCCACTTTGTGGGAAGGCGTCACATACACATTTCTCTCTGGGACATTCTGTTGGGTTGAGTGAGCACGGCTGCTGGAGCTTGGCCACGAGGATGGCGGGAGCCTCCCTGAGCTGAACGGAGGCCCCACAGCCGTGACCTTACAGAGGCCCTCTTGACTTTGCTCGGGGCCCGGGTGAGGGACCCACAGACCTGTCAGGCCCCCGGCAGCGCCCCAGCGCCTGACCAGTTCCTGTGCAAACTGCAGAGGCGGGACTGGAGGCCGCCTTCCCACCGGCCCGCCGGACCAGGGGTCTGGGCCCTGCACCCGCTCTGGACTCCGACGCCAGGGGTGCCAGAGGTTCTGGAGGTCAGACCCCGAGGCTCAGCTGGGCGTGTCCTGTCCCTTCTGTAGCCGCTCTGCCCATCACGAGGGGGCAAGTTCTCGATTCCCTGGTTAAATGTCTCTCTGGGCGGGTGTTCTCCATGTTTGTCCTGCACCCTGACAGACACAGCTGGGAAAAGGTGACAGATACACCATGGAGCAGGTGACAGACACCTGGGTAGAAGTGGTGGATGCACCCAGGTCACAGTAAATTAGGCCCCTGTGTGAAGGTGCAGGCACGCCGGCTCTCAGGAGGTGACGATGTTTCAGGGGGGTTAGAATTTTACCTCAGCTGAAAACACCTGCTATGTCTGAACATTCGTGTCCCCCCAAAACCCATAATGGTGAAACCTAACCCCCAGGTGATGGTGGTAGCAGGTGGGGCCTGTGGGGCCATTAGATCATGAGGATGGAGCCCAAGGTGGGATAGTGACCTTATAAAAGAGAGCCCAGAGAGCCTACCACGTGAGGGTACAGTGAGAAGAGGAAGCTGGTTCTCACCAGACAGCGAATCTGCTGACGCCTTGACCTCAGATTTCCAGCCTCCTGAAGTATGTGCGTGTACAAGCCACGCAGTCTATACTTTGTTCTAGCGCCTTAACCAAGAGCCCCTCTGAGGAAACATCCCACAAGCCTGTGGCAGGGAAGGTCCTGCTGTCATCTGCCACCCAAGACCTGTGAGGCCGCTCTCCTTAGGGCCCTGTGGTAGGTTCCTTCCCCTGAGCCAGGCCTCGGGAGCCGTCCGGTGAGCTGCGGTGGTCCAGGGCTCCTGCCCCCCAGCTGTGGCCAAGCAGGCTTCCCCTGACTGCCGGCTTTCTCCTGTCCATGACCCGCCAAGGCCTTGCCCCTGAGCCCAGGCTGTGCTCGGGCCTCTCCCTGGCTCCCGGCCTCGACAGTGCCTCCAAGACTGGACTCCATGCCTATAGCTGAGATCTGCGACGGCCCCGACTGCTGGCCGGGCCCATCTCCCAACTGCCTGGCCCACTGGTCAAACCCTGAAAGGCCCCCCCTCCGAGGCTGAGGCTTGGAGGAACAACGGGGCATCAATGCCTAGGCCCAGCACCTCCCCCCAGTGGGTCCCTGCCCTGCCTACCACCTGGTCGGTCAGTGCCGGTGACCTAAATGGATGAAGTCCCTTGGGGCACGGAAGTCACAACATGTCACAAATCCCCCCGCTCCCCCTACCGTGGCCACTCCAAGCCCTCGCCATTTGTCCCTGTATGTCCGCCTCCACACATCTACAGCCAGAACTACTCATGAGCCATGCCTCAGCACCTCCCACGTGCTGTGCCCACAGCTGGAACATTCTTTCCTAACCCCCATGGGTTTATCCTGAAGACTGGTAAGATGTTGCCTCATCCAGGAAGCCCTTCCAAATACTTCAGTAGCAAGAGTAGGTCCTTCTGGCCACAGTGGTACTGGAGTGCAGGGGCTGGGACAGGCTGCCTGGGGGCAGAGGATCGTTCCCGGGATTTGAGAAGTAACAGAAGTGTGAGGATCATTAAGGAGAGTGAGATGAGGTATGAGAAGGTGTGAGGAGGTATCTGGAGAGTATTGAGGTATGAGGTGTGAGGAGGGGGTGAGGAGGTGAAAGGATGGTGTGATGGGAGGTGTGTAGAGCCGTGAGAATGATGTGAGGGGTGAGGAGGAGGTGAGGAGGTATCTGGAGAGTGTGTTGAGGTGTGAGGAGGGAGTGAGGAGTGAGGAGGGTGTGTGGAGAGTATTAAGGTGTGAGGAGGGAGTGAGGAGGGTGTGTGGAGTGTATTAAAGTGTGAGATGTGAGGAGGTGTGAGGAGGTGTGAGGAGGGTATGTGGAGAGTATTAAGGTGTGAGTTGTGAGAGGGTGTGTGGAGGTGTGAGGAGGGAGTGAGGAGGTGTGAGGAGGTGTGAGGAGA